ACAACCGGTTGGTCGACAGCCCGGCCGCCGAAGAGCGCGACTTCCGCTTCCACGTGAGTCTCGGCGCCGCAGCCAATGGCGAGACGGCGGCCGCCGTTTGTCCGGAAGTGACGTCACGCCTGTCGGAACCGATTGTTGCGCGCGTTTCGCGAATTGCGCTCAAAATGGGAAACATTTGCAAAGAATTGGTTTTGAAATAAAAAGCGTTTATTTAAAAGATTAAAAATATTTAACAATATTTCGTTTCGCGAGAACTCATAATTCAAACATTAGTTAAAACGGAAATCATTTCTATTATCTCTCATAACATCTTAAGCCCTGATTGTGGTCTCAGAGGATACCGAAAACGTTCGGCGAATAACTTTTATTTTTAACGCCTTTTAACTGATAATCAATAAAAATTTTATTATAAAATATTCAATAAGTCTTGATATAAAAAGTGTTTATTTAAAAAAAATTGTTAAAAAACGTTAATTTAATGAATAATCTCGTGTCCAATGAGTTCGCGAGTGACGTCACAGCGAACCCTTGCATTTGGCCGAAGCGCACAAACACGTGATCGCCGACTCGTGACTTCCGGCGTATCCGCTGTCCGTCTCGGAAGAGGTGTCGGAAACGAACTTTCCGGTCGTCGCGTCGGCCGAAAGCGTCTGTCGCTTATAATCCCACGTCAACTCCTCGCCGGCCGCGATCGCGCGCTTCGCGAAGAAGGCGACGGAAGGGACGCGCTGTCCGTCGCGAACGACCGCCAAATGGATGTCCATATTGGGTTCGCACGAGTGGTTCGCGAACCGCGCGACGTTTCCTTCGCGCGCGCCGTCAATGAACAGCGTTTGTCCGCAAAACTCTTCGTCCAATTGGAAGAAGTATTCTTCGCTTCTGCGTACTGTCTGCTCGGAAGCGATTACTTCTCCCACGTATTCCATGATGAAGGCCGCGTACGGAATGCGGGCCCGCGTGACCAGACCCCAGCCGCGGTCACGTGTGCGCACGACTGCCAACTGGGCGCCGATTCTCTTCGTCTGAATCCTTCGGTTCGGACACTCTTTGCCGCAAAGACAGCGTTCGGTGCACTCGTAGACGACGTTCGACGTCTTGAAGCGTTTGACGCCGCGATAGAGCGCCAGTGCGCAGACGCACGACCGGTTCTTGCGGCAGTCGTCTGCGCAGTCGCAGTGGACGCCACGTCCGAAACAACTGTCTCCCAATTGGACCCTCGGATGCACGCGATGTGAGAGAAGATACGAGATTTTCGGCGGCGAAACCAAATCCACGACATTCTCGACGCTCAAGACGTCTCCCGACGGAAGACAAGCGTTCACTTCGGTCTCCCATTCGCGACACTTTGCGAGAGTCTCTCTTCGCGCGGACGCGAACTCCAGAAGCGCGCGAACGGATCCGAAGCGGTCGTCGACGCGGAGTTCGCGCGCGAAGAGCCGAATGAGGACTTTTCGCGGCCAAAGTCCATGTCTTTTGTGGCGCCGAAACGCCGCCTCCCACTTGCCGAGCGCCGCGCGCATCCCTTTCCACTGTTTGTGCGTTTGTGGCGCCGGAATAGACGCCTCTTCGGTGATGTCACGCGTGAGGCGCGACAACACCGCTCTGTCGGCCTTCGCTTCGCTCGTACTGTCCGTCAAGAGAGCGGCCAATCGGCGGAAGTCTTCGTCCGAATAGTGGGTCACGTGATGGCCGTCGAAGAGTTGCGCAAAAAAGTCTTGGAAAAGAACATCACTTCCGCTTAAGTCGCGCGCCGTTTGCCACGTGTTGGCCGACTCGGCCCACCCCTCCCACTTCACGCGCAGCACGAGATCACACGCGCAGTTGAGGCGCGCGCCCACAATCTTCTCGGCCCACCATTGGTTGCCCACGGGTTCCGGTCGCCGCTGAAGACAATATCTCCGCAAAGTCGCGATCTCTCGGCGCGACTTCAGACACGGAACGCGACACTCGGCCGCCAATTGGCGCAACTGCTGTGACGTCACGCTATCGATGTCCGAAATGCGCGCCAATTCGCTGCCGCAGTCCTCCGCTCGCTCTCCACTCGAAGGACTCATTGTTGTTGTCTTTTGCCGCCAAACGAGTGGATGCGAGACGAGTGCGCACGCGTGCAAACACGTGGACGTCATTTATGCGCGAACTCTGCGTTCAGTCATTTAAAGCGAATTCCGTTTCCTTTTCTCTCTTTTCCACACATTTCACGAAAAATGGTAACAATTTCTCCCTTTTTGTCCCGAATTTCACGCCTTTTCTCCTCTTTTTCAGTCTTCAGACAACACGTCGTGTACTATAAGGACGCGGAAGTTCATGACTAACAGACTTCTGGCGCGACGCCAAATGGTATGAAACGCTGAACGCCTTCTCCGCTGACATGCCTTCCCTCTGACATCCTTTCCCCCAACAGGTCGTCGATGTCCTCCATCCCGGACGCGCCACTGTCTCGAAGACGGAGTTGCGCGAGAAGTTGGCGCGGATGTACAAAACCACTCCCGACGTGGTCTTCGCGTTCGGCTATAAGACAAACTTCGGCGGCGGAAAAACCACTGGATTTGCGCTCATTTACGACACTTTGGACTTCGCGAAGAAGTTTGAACCCAAATATCGTTTGGTTCGCAACGGACTCTTGACGCGCGAGAAGACGGCCCGAAAGCAGCGCAAAGAGCGGAAGAACCGAATGAAGAAAGTTCGCGGAACTAAGAAGACGAAAGTGGGCGCCGGCGCCGCCAAAAAGGTAAGCACTCGTCGTCGCCGTCGTCTCTCTGTCGTCTTTTTTGTCGTTCACTCTATTGTTGTTCTCTCGCTCTCTCTCTCTCTCTTCCCTTCCGTTTCTCTCTTCAGACAAAACATTAAATTAATTGGAATTTGGTTTTGATTTACAGAAAGACTGAATAAATGAATGAAAAATCGATTTTTATTCTGAATAAACGTTTCTTTAATTAAATTGCATTAAAATCACGAAAACGACGCCCAATGTTGACCTTCTTTGGCCTTCTTGAGCCGCAACTCCGCTTTCGTCGCCTCCAACACCACTTCCGACTGTCCCGCGCGCACTCCCGCCCACAGCGTCCACTCGCGCGTCCATAAAGCGTTCCCCTCGCAGTCGGCGAACCGCGCGCTCACCTCCCGGCCCCCTTTGCACTGCATGCGAGTGGCGGCTGCGCGCGCGCCTCGCAGGCCGTAGAGCACGAGATGGACGTGAGAGGAGGTCTGGAACCAGTCCTCGCGAACGGCTTTCGGAGCGACGGAAAAGTCGTGTTCTTCTGCCGTTTGACAGCCTTTGAAGGCCTCGAAGTCCGCGAATTCCGTGAACTTCTTGTTCGCACAACACGTCCAGTATTTCAGCGTTTCGTGGAATCTATGCATTCATTGAGCCGTCATTTCATTGAGAGTTCTTTGACTCCGACGTCACTCACATCGTGTGTCCCGAATGGAAGCGACATTCCGTCGTCTCGTCCGTTGCCTCCTTCCGCTTCCGGCAGCGCTTGCACTGAATGTGCGTCTTCTGCGCCGTCGCGGTGGTCGCGGCCTTCGCCACACTCGACGCCTCTTTCACCGTAACCGCAGTCCACTCCTCGCTCTCGTCCTCCTCTTCGGTCTCCTCTTCGGTGCTCTTTTCGGGCGCCGTCTCGCTCTTCGGCGGCGCAATAGACGGCACTTCCGGCGGCGCTTCCGTCGAGTGGTTTCCGGTTTTGCCTAAAAAACGGGAAAAAGGCGTCACTTATGGCCGAAAAGCGCGAATCAGTGCTCAGACAGGGCTTGAAGTTGAGGAAAGTCGTGAAATCCGTGGACTTCTGCTGACAACACGTCCACCCCTTGTAAGCGTCGTGGAAGAAGGGAACGCCCGGATGGAAGCGACACTCGCTGTCCTCGTCGTCGTCCGAGAAATAGACGCCACAACCCGTTCGCCGACACTTCTGTCGCCTGTCGTCGTCCGCCATCTTTGCGTTGCTATGGATACCAAACACAGAGAGAGAACACGTGATGTCAACACAAAAGGTGTTTATTTGGGAAAAACAATGCAATCGAGAGTCAAGTCGTGCTCTTCTGTCGGCAACCAATCAGTCATCTGTTGAGTGAACGCCAAACCAATCAGAGGGCAGTTCGGAGACTGAGTCCGCAATCGGCGCAAGAAGTGGTCGTAATATCCGCCGCCATTCCCGAGCCGTCGGCCGTCCGGAGTGAAGGCGACGCCCGGCACGAGACATACGTCGAGACCGCCCGAAGACAGCGCTTCCGCTCTTCCGCCGTCTTCTTCCGGCTGAGCGATTCCGAAGCGCGTTCGCGGCAGAGAGCGGACATCGGCCGAAGAGACGACCTCAAAGAAGTCCATTCTTCGCGAGTTTTCCGCGTATTTCGGAACAAAGACGCGTTTGTTTCGCGCGAAGCAGAGCTCGAGCGCAGCGAAGGTCGAGACCTCGCGCTCGAGACTCACGTAAAGTCCGACCCTTTGGCTCGCGAGGAAGCGCTCGTCATTGGCCACGAGTGACGTCACGGCCGCCGACTGTCGCGCCCTCTCTTCCGAAGACATCCGCGCCAACAGCGCGCGCACCGATCGTCTGATTTCGCGTTTTGTCGCCATTTGTGTGACGTCTGAGAGTCACGTGACGGGCGATGGAGTGGACGGACGTCGAGACGAAAGAGCGCCTCCTATTGGACGACGAGCCGTCCGTGACGTCGGCGGCGGACGAGTCTTCGCAGCAGTCGTCGGGAGGCGGAGGGGCGCCGCCGAACGCGCTCTGCTATTGCGAGAGAGAGCGTGACGTCCGACAGGTGGAGCTCCAGTGCTGTCGTTGTCTCAAATGGTTTCACAAGCAGTGCGTGACGTCAGCCGTCGGCCGCTGTCTCCCATTCATGACGTGTTACACGTTTTGGTGTCGCGATTGCGGCGCAGACTCTGTCGAAGCGTTTTCGCGAAGACAAACCAATTTCTCGCAAATGTGCGAAACGGCGATCGCCAACCTTATGGTCGGCGCCGAAGAGGACGGGAATCGCGTCTCGTTCTCCAAAGACCGCGAAATCATTCCTTTCATTGACGCCAATTGGGAAGTGTTGACAACAATGCCGCGCAGAATCAAACACACGTGGCATCAGACGGTCGTCAAGACGATGACCAAAGAGACGGACACTTTCATCCACGACGCGCGCGATCCCAACGACCCGCACTTCGCGCTCCGAAATCAGGATCTCCTGCGCATCGGTCCCAACTACGACAGCGCGCGCATCGACCCGGCGGGCGGCGTCCCGAACCGTTTCGGTGGGCGCGGCGCCAAACGCCGTTTCGAGCCGTCGGAGGCGTTGGCGGCGAAGCGGCAGAAGTCGGAGCTGTCGTCGCCTAAACTGCCGCCAAACGGCTTTCCGGCGGAGTTTCCCTTCAATAAAGACGGCTATCGCTACGTGTTGGCCGAACCCGACCCGCACGGGCCCTTTCGCCAGGAGTTCGAGGAGTCGCAGGATTTGGCGGGAAAACCCATTCCCGGATGGCTTTGCCGTAAACTGATGCCCGATTGGGTCGCGCTTTCGCTCCACGATCGCGCCACACAACTCAAGGTCAGTGACTCGGAGCGAGAGGTCGACGAACTCTGAATGAACTCTTTTGCGAACAGATCTCTGAAGACCGGCGAACGGTTTGCGGCGAAAAAGGCTATTGTATGGTTCGCGCCAATTATGGCGTCCGTCGCGGCCTTTGGTTCTTCGAAGTGCGCGTCGAAGACATGCCCGACGGCGCCGCCGTTCGGCTCGGAGTGGCGCAGGAGTTGGCGAACATCCAGGCGCCGCTCGGATACGACAAATTCGGGTATTCCGTGCGTTCGCGCAAAGGCACCAAATTCCACGACTCGCGCGGCCAACACTTCGCCGACTCGGGCTTCGGCGCCGGTGACGTCATCGGCTTTCTGCTCGAACTGCCCGACGGCGCAGACTCCGCGCTCCTCAACACTTATAAAGACAAACCGCTCGTGAAGTTCAAGAGTTATCTGTATTTTGAGGAAAAGGACGACATTCCGAAGCAAACGCGCGAACTGCGCCCTCTGGCCGACTCCCGACTCACCGTCTTTAAGAACGGCCGGCCCCTCGGCACCGCCTTCCACGACCTGTACGCCGGCACGTACTACCCGTCAGCTTCGCTCTACAAAAGCGCTTCCGTTTCCTTCAATTTCGGGCCGAAGTTCGAGTTCCCGCCGAAAGGGCGCGCCTTTGACGCCATGTCCGCAGTGGTGGCCACTCAACAGACGGAACAAACGCTTTCCGAGGTCTTGTATTTCGTGGAAAACGAGGGAAGACTGCGTTTAGACATCTTTTACGGCGGAAATTGAGTTTATTTACAAAACAATAAACAAAAGACTATATTTGCGATCACATGACTCTAACACTCGCTCTCGTCGTCCCAGGCGTCGCTGTCGTCGTCGTCTTCGGCGCCTCCTTCCGAGTCCGACAACTCTATGGCCACTCTTCGCGCCAAAATGGATGCCACGTCGTGCAGAGGCGTCGACTTCTCCACTTCGCGCTGTTTGCAGTCCTCCACGCGCTTCAGTTTTATGCCCTCCCGAATGGCGGCCAACAGGTCGGAGCGCGCGTCCGTCGGTCGCGGCTGTTGCGCGTGCGCTGACGTCTTCTTCAGTTGAATGGACTTCAGGTCCGAAACCGTCGGCTGTTGTCGTCTCTGTTGTTGTTGTGTGTCGTCCGGGACGACGGCCGTATAGCCGGTGGGCGGCGGCGGAGGAGGCGGCGGCGGTTCCGCCCTCTCGTCCACCTCTTGGCGTCCGTTCATCTCTTGCGGCGGCGGCGGTGGCGGCGGAAGAGTTTCTCTGGCGCGCGATCGCGAAGGAGTGGTCGCTTCGGGCGCCGAGTGCTGCGGAGTCGGCGGTCCTGAAGGCGGCGCGGGAGGCGGTTGCGAGGGGCGCGACGCCGACGACACCTGTCGACGCGTTCCTGTGGGGGAGAGAGGGCGTGAGCGGACATACAGGGGCTTCGGGAGGATTACCGGCGCCGTAGATGTGATGCGCGGAAGCGTTGTATTGATTCATCGCTTGGACGTCGTGTTCGTACTGTTGTTGTTGTTGTTGGAGATTGTGGTACTGGTTGTGGTTGAGGGGCGGCGGGGGCGGCGCCGCCTGCATTTGTTGCGCCGGAAGCGCGTTCTGGAAGTGTCTCTGACCGTCAATCATGTGGTTGTTCTCGATGTAGAAATTGTGGGGAAGTTCGAGACTCTGCGGTCTATTGACGTCTTGAGGGTCGAAGTGTTGGCCATTTGTGTCCAAATAGACGAGATTGAGTCCATTCTTCTGGTCGATGATGAACTCTCCCTGATTGGCCATCATTTGCCGATAGCGTTCGCGAGTGTTCATTGGCTGTCGCACTTTGCGCGCCTTCTTGTGCTCTGAAAGGAAGATAATTAGAGACAACGGCCACTCCCACACGCCCTCCCCTTACCCTGGAGCTTGGCTTTGGGCACTTTGCGGCCCGCGAGGGCCTTCTCGGTGTCGGCGAGCATTTCCTGGCGCCACAACTCGAAGAAGTAGTTCGGATCCGTGTAGAACTTGAGGCCGTCTTTGCCGTCGTCGCGGTATTGGTTCAGTTTGTTGAGGGCCGGCGGGCGGTCGCACTTGGCGTACACGCGCTGAATGGCGTCGGGAATGGAGTCGCGCGACACGACCTGCTGATCGAATTGAGCGCCGCTTTTGAAGGCTTTCCGCAAATGAATGTCTTGGAGCGACACTTCCTCCACAGACGAGTCCAGAGACACGACTTTATGCGAGAGGCGGTCGATGCGCGTCTGCAGAGCCGTCGAGCGGACCATAAGAACTGACGCTTCGCTGAGAATAGAGCCGAAGAGGTCTTCGGCGAAGCGCGACAACGACGACAACTGGCGGATGATATTGGCGAGCGTGCCGTTCGTCACGCACTCCAACTCGTTGGGGATATTGATGGCCAGATTGCCCGCGGAGTCCATTGGGACGCATCTTCGGCCGACACCTATCGGAGCGATCACTCTCTGCTCGAAAGGCATCTCTATCTCTGAAACGCCTCTCAAATGGTGGCGAAAATGGCGACAAAACTCGAGCGACTCTAACGCCATCTCTTTATTGTGAGCAAAGTTTGCATAGAATTCACGCGAAGAACAGAATTACAGGGATTTGACCGCATTGAAACGCCTCTCAAATGGTGGCGAAAATGGCGACAAAACTCGAGCGACTCTAACGCCATCTCTTTATTGTGAGCAAAGTTTGCATAGAATTCACGCGAAGAACAGAATTACAGGGATTTGACCGCAAGTGACGTCACTTCCGGCCGAACGGTCGTCGCTTCCGGTCGTCTTCTCCGTGAAGGAAAGCGCGCGCTTCAGACGCGCCAGACGTGAGGGCCGGCGGTATTGCGCGGGTGGCGGCGGACGCGGCGGCGGGTTCGGAGTGGGGGGCGCGGAGGAGGCGCCGCCCGTCGCGTCTGCGCACTCGTGATCCCACGCGAAGTTAAAGATGACGTTCTCGCCGGCAGTGGTACGCACTTTGGCCGCCAGTTGTCCGCCAGTGCCGTAGAAGAAGTAGACGTCGTGCGGGGCGCGCGGGAGGTGCGCGCGCACGCCTCCCACGGGGCGCTCCGTGGCCTCGACTTCGGCGCGGATCTCGTGCTCGACATTGGGTTCGATTTCGAACTCTTCGTCGAACTTTATGTTAACAATGGGTTCCGAAGAGTCGCCGCTTTTCACGCGCACCGATTTGCGCGCGCAGTCCATGATTGTCGGCGACGCGCGACGGTCGCAGCGCACGAGCGCCACCGAGATCTGCGGCCGAGAGAGAGTGAGACAACACAGAGACCACGTGACGGACTGACCTGGAGCTGGAAGTGGAAGGGACGCCGCGGACCGTAAACTCCGACTCCGGCGACGAAAATGCGTTTATTGGCCGCAAAACGCAGCGATCGCTGTCCCGCGCGAACCGTCATCTGATTGTCGAACGACGCGAACCGCTGGACGCAAAGCAGAGGTCCGCGCAGCCGCTGATAGGCTCTCGGCGTCGACGAGAAGTGCAACGCCTTCCGCGGCCACGAGCGCTGATTGGCTGAGAGGGCGCGCAACACGTCGTCCTCGAGAACGCCCTCCGATTGGACAACAGTTCGCAACTGCTCTGACGTCATGAGCGGAAAGCGAATCAAATCGACGGCTTCGGCCATCACGTGACGAATGTGGACTCGAGTGGGACACTGGCCGCGCCGTAAGCACTGGTGTTTCGCCCATCGCGTGACCGCCAGAAAGAGGTCCACTTCTTGGACGCGCAGAAGATCGTCTTCGAGCAGTTGGCAAACGGAGAGGTGATCCGCGCGCACGAAATCGGGCGCCAGGAGGACGTCGGCGGCGAACCTGCGAATCACGCGCAGCGCCAGACTCTCGACTTCCGGTTCGCGAAACGTCTTTGCGGACAACCAAATGAGGAGCGCGTTGTCTTTGGAGATCTCGAAATTGACGAATCGGAAGCACAGGCGCTCGAGATACGGAATCTCGTACTTCTTGGCCGCGTAGAGAACGGCCACCGCGTTGTCCTTCTGGAGCCGGATTTGGTCCGTGTATAGGAATCGCAGGAACTCGAGGAACACGAGAGGCTCGAGGTCTTCGAGAACCACGTCTTCCGCGGAACAGTTGTCGAGCGAAACGGACTCGTCTTCGGCGCCGAAGAACATGCGCCGAAAGACTGGTGATGCGACGGCGAGCACGAGGCGATGGGCGGGCACTCGAAGTTGGCGTTGATGGCGTTGAGCGCCGCCTACGAGGAAGTGGACGTCCGCCATGTCTTCGCACGACAGGAGGCGCGCGAACCGCGTTTGCAGCGACTCTTCGGGCATCTCTTCCGTGTCTTCGGTCTTGGCTTCGGACACAAGGAAGACATCTTCGCGCGAATTGTCTTCCAAACTGATGGCCCGGCGCTCGAAATGGTTCTCTCGCGCGCTCTCTTCCATCACTTCTTCTTTTTCGCCATTTTTTCAATCGATAAGAAAACAGAAGACAAGAGAAGCAGAGCGCCTGTCACGTGACCGCAAGCAACCACGGTCTCCGCCATTGGCGCGCATTTGCTCACTGGCCGACCAATCAGAGGCCGCCGCGCCCCTCCCGCCCCCCCACAGCTCTCGGCCCCACCCACGCACCCCTCCGCCCCCCTCTGCACCCCCGCTGCGCACGTGAGCTGCTGTGCGACTGCGCGTTGCGTTCTTCTGCGCTCTCGACTCGAGAATGGAGTGAAGAATGTCTTCAGAAGACGAGAAACACAAGACTTCGGAGCAGTTCTCGGGAGGCGTTCCACCCGTCGCCCCCACCACCTCCTCAGCGGGAGGCGCCCCTCCCACGCCGCGCACCGCCGACAAGAGCCTCTCGACGCTGGAGAAGATAAAGCGCTTCTTCTTCTCGAAGGAGGAATGGGAGGCCTATCTGTTGGAGCGCTTGGAGGAAGAGAACCGCAAGAAAGGTTTGGCCGAAGAGTCACCAAATCTGATCCCTTCTCTGAGCACTCTTTGCCTCGAAATGCATTTCCGTTTCTTTTGTGTTCATTTGGTTTCGTTTTTGTAGAGAAAAGGCGCCGAAAAGCGGAGCAAAAGTCTTGACCCCCTTCGCGACCCCGGCGCCCCCTCGACGCCCCCTCGTCGCCCTCCTCTCCCCCTCTGACCACACATCACATGACACTCACTGTTTGCAGAGTCGTCCGGACAGAGGGCGCCCCGAGAGCTGCACCGAAACGTCACGCTGTGGTTGGAGACGATGTTCGCGACGCCCGAAGAGGCGGACCTCTTCCTCCGCAGTCAACTCGACAAACTTCAGAGCGAACGCAGCGCTAAATAAACTCTTTTATTGCAATCAAAGCACTCTTTCTGAGCGCCAATCGATGCGCGCCTTCCTCCACTTGGTCCGCACGACGGCCTCGAGTGGCGCCACGTTTTCGGCCGCAGTGTCTTCCTCTTGAGCCGTGCGGACGCGCAGCTCCGTCTCTGATGGCTGATCCGCGAGTCCGTCGAAGTGGAAGAGCGCGAAGTCTTCGCAGTCTTCGAGTCTTTGTTTTGCGAACAGAACCGAGAAATGGCTTTCGCTCTGAACGACGAAAACAGGAAATTCCGGACTCTTGTAGTTTCGGCCGACCTGTCGGTAGAGGGCGTGTCATCGCTCGCATCATGTGATCACATCATGTCTCACCTCAAGACAGCCGAAGTGCTCGAAGAGCGAGAGGAAGCCGACGCGCGACTGGCGAGCGATTCCGCGCAGAAGCAGTTCGGGCGACAGTCGGCGCGTGTTGTCGAAGACGTTGGAAACGGCTCTTCCCGTTAGCAACAGATTCACCATTTCTTGCGTGCAATAGTTGTGACGTCCGATCAGACGACTGCTGACGTCATCCATGTCTTGTCGCGCGTCACGTGTCAACAGCGCCGAGAAGAGGAACGAAAGGACGCCGAGAGCGCGCGCGTTGTGGTCGAGGAGAGCGGCGATGTGTCGCCAGAGGGCGTCGTAGTCGTCGAGCGTCGCTACGACCAGTCGTTCGCAAATGCCGTCCATCGGGAGCGCGCGCGAAGACGTCTCCCGGCTTTCGCTGCGGAAGAGAGCGCGTGAGAGAAGGTTTTGGCGCGAAATACGTACTGAGCGACGAACGCGCGCTTCCGGTCGCCCGCGCGCCACAAGATGTCGGCCATGGCTTTGGCAAGACACTGGCGGACGTCGGCGTCGGTCTCGCAGAAGAAGAGGCGCACGAGAAGGTGCGCCTGAAT